TACGTTGCCCAGGGTGCACCACGTGGAGGTTAGTCTATCGTACACCCCGTTATTCTAGAATTAAAGATTCGACATAGTCAATGTGTCTGTCATTTTAATAAAGATCTCGTTATCATATTTAGGGATTGCTGTCACTACGTACTTCTCTAAAGTTCTGCAATATCCTTTGCTCTTCCTCGTCTACGATTACAGGGGTCACTAATAATCAGCAATTTAAGCTAATGATCCCACTGGCTAAGTCTAATTGATAAAGTTATAGGTTTTATTAAAGAGATTCCTCCTGATTAGCTTGAAGTAGCTTTCTGTTACTTGTGCTATCCATTTCCGCATTGTCTCCTATTGGGTCTGAAGCTATTGTCGAAGCGCTACTGAAAAATTTAGTTGTGTCGTCGTTTCATCAATCGTCAACAAAATTATGCCGTCGAAGGGGTTTCTCTTCATTTCCTTATTTGTCAGCAGGCAGCATATATCAGATAATTCGATTGACTTGTACTATTGGGAAGCGTGGTTATATTAGGCAAATTTCAAAGAACGAGATGGTCTGGAATGTCTTCAGGAGAAGGAAGAGTGGAAAAATGGATTAAGAATTAAAAAGAATAGCGAAAGTGAAAATAATAATCTCGTATGACTACTTTTTACCACTATCTATCCGGTAAACAGAATTGTTTGCTGTTTTCTATTTTGACAAAAAGGAAGCAAAACACCACTATTTACAGGTTAATCGTTTAATTGGAATGGAGAAATTTCTCTAACTTTTTCCTTTCTAGTTAGTAGTTAATTGACTAGCTTGCTACCTTGTGGAATGGTGAGTAAATTGTTGTAGGTTGCCTAATTTCGTGTTATTGAATTTGGAGGCTAATGGGCTTATAGCATTGATCGAAGTACGTCATACGCCGATTAATTCCCTCTTTCTCTGACCTTTTTCCTAATTGCACCCCACCAATAATAGTCCTGACCTTCTCCGCACGTGTGACAGCATTTTTAAAGTTAAAAAACGGTGGCTAGTCCGATCCTGGCAGGTGAATGTGGACGAATGTGAATCATGTCATGTAGCCATGACAGATTTATGACACTGTACTCTCATAAAAAAGTAAACTTTCGGTCCTCTGCCTGGAGGCTATTGTACCTGGTCGTATACTACTCATAGGAGTTTAAGTAATGTGCCTACTTGCCTCTCCTAGAATAGTTTCGAGACGGATGTGTTTCGAGCAAATCAGTTTCTCCCCAAAGTCCTCCTTATTATGGAAATCTCTTATTTCGTCATTTCTGTATGACCTTTTTAAATAAACTTTGTCGATGAGGGCTAAATGCGACATCTTCGTTTCAGCAGGCGTCCACTTTAACTTCCGCCCCACTGTGGCGGGTAAAATCGGAATTTTGTTTCACGTCCTTCTAAAATACTTCTAGTTATAGTATATTCTGAAGTCCAATTTTGAAGTTATCTATTATTTATTTACGATAATTGTAAATACTTTTAAATTTAGTAGAAGTATTAATTGTTATTAAAGGCTTGTCAGAACGAAACCAGACATCTTTGTGAAGTCATTAGAACTTATTATCATAATTTAAAATCAATAATTGTCATCAGAGTTACTGCAGTTCTTTGAGAAAGTACTCCGAATGAAAGAAATTGCTTAGTAAAACCCAACTGATCGATCCCCCCCAACATCGTGGAATAGTACAAAATTGGAATTGAATAAACGCTATGGTTTCCTATAGGGAGCGGTCATTTTTAATACCCTAATGGATTAAGATTGCCCGAATTCATTCAATACCGAGAGAGCGCCAATAGACAATGCCGTTTGCTTTAATAATGGAAGTTTTGACTTTAAAGTGAAGAGCATATTTAAAATCCAATGCTTCTAATCACACCCCTTCAGTGGGGGGGGGGGTTGGGTGAGATCAGCTGGTCGGAGTTAATTGCATAAAAATATGCCACCAGTTGCAAAGACACAAATTCTCCCCACCTGTATCGTGAACACCGCAGAAACGGGATAAGCCAAATGTCGTTTTTTACGTCAATTCATCAAGTGCTTTCTGTTTTTAACTTAATCCTAATTCCACAAACAAATAGTCGGGTTTGTATGTTAAGTGCAATCACCACCATGTTATTCTTTCACCGTTTAGTCAATCATGATCAAAAGATTCCTACAACTTTTTCAAATATCTAGGTCGTTGTTGCTTTATTTCGGCACTTTTTATGCGTTTTTCATAATATTTTGGAATGACATTTATTGAGGTTAATGCATTGGGGAATGGATTAATATTTATTTACATCAAATGGCAGGCGTTTTGATAGTTACATTAGCCCTTTAGTTGACTTCAGGCTTCACAGAGGGGAAGGAACATCAAAGTTGAAAAAGTCGAGAGAGGGGGGGGACAGAGAAGTGTTCCAAAGATGTAAAAGGGACAAGCACAAAGGTAGAAAGAGGTGAGGTGAGTACTGTGGAAGTAGTCGAATATGATATATAGTGGGGTGATGATAGTTTGAAGTCAGAAGTCAACTGCCGGTTAATAGACTTTGGCAGTTTGAAGTTGGGTGATGGCAGTTTGAAGTGAGAAGTCAACTGCCAGTTAATAGACTTTTTTGCCGTATGGGTATACGGTGCCCAGGGTGCACCACGTGGAGGTAAGTCTAAATATACATTGCCCAGGGTGCACCACGGAGGTAAGTCTATTGCACACCCCATGATACCTATCATAACGCCTGCCATTTGAAAACACCCCGAACGCATTAATATAACTTTGCTTTGAAGAGGTCTGCTCACTATAAAAAAATGGAAGCTTTTGTACCTGGTCGACTATCTATAATGCGTAACTAAATTCTGAAATGGAAATTGTTTATGTAAGTTCTCACAATTCCTGCTTTACTATAGAAAAAAATTAGAATTTGTAAAAGAGCCTATCGATGCTGTATGCGTTCTCCCTTTGTTGCTTGTTGAGACCCTATCAACAAGCTATCAACTTCCTTTAAGCGTGTCACCTTTCTGATCGTTAAACATCCCACATTTTAACGAATTTAGGTGAAGATTTATCTGTACTCGTTGGGTTGAGTTTGAATCTGGTTCACTCCCTTATAAGACCTGATCTATCCGAACCAAGATATTGAAACATTTTTACATGGCGAAAGTTTTTGGTGTTTTTTTTACTGTTGAAGTTGTAATTGAGATTCGTCAACAGTGAGCCCAAAAAATGAAGTTGATTAGCAAGCTATTGAGACTTCAAAACCCTTGCTTCATTTAAATTTTGGAATCGAGTTTTACATTATGTAATTAACAATTCCAATTCCATGATTCATGGCCTTCTATCACTGAAGCAATTCTTGTCCATAATGCTCAGTGTTTAATGAGCGGTTGCTTTCTTATAACTCTGAAAGCAGTGGGGTCTAAATTGGCGCTAAATAGCACGCATGATCCTATTGAATTTGGAATGAGATGGGTCATATTGAAGTCGAAAGGTATTCCTTTCTAGAAATCCACTCTATTGCCTCGCGGTAAATCGGTATTCATTTAATCACTAATGGTTATGTATCCTTTATTTGCATTCCCTGTAGATCTGTTGTCAATGGGTGGATTCAAACATTCGAAAGTTTAGAAGCTGAGGCTAAAGCGCATCAGGATATCGCTGAAAAGATCTCCACCAAACTGCTTCCAACTTCTAAGAACTTTATCGCGGTTGTTGATCGGGATATTAAACCCGTAAGTCTTTCGTCCCCCCCCCCCTCCCCCAATCAAAGCTCTCTTAGCATTGCCTATTACTGTTTGTTATTACTTGCAAAGGTGGGGATGAATTTTAAAGTATAAATCAATTAATTTTAGTAAATCTCATTTAATTTACACACGTTAGGGAAACACAAGATAATAGCGCAGAGTAAGCACATACTAAAAATGCACATTCTGCACATTTTTGCTGTATAAAATAAAGAAATCGATAATTACCCACGGACGCACTTAGCGTTAAAATCAACATGCTTATTAATTTAATAGTTAATTTGCACTATTGGCCATCTTTTAGATTTCGACTGAAGTTGAAG